AAGTTTTTTGTTGGCGATGGTGGGGGGGGGGGGGGGGGGTGAAGAGGTGAAGTGACGGAAATAGAAATCATCTCTAGCTTCTCCTCTTTTCAGATTATCTCTCTTTCATCTCCAAATATGGAAACAACAGATATTTGAAATTGTCATTTCATTTTATTTAAATCGAAAGTTAATTGTTTAATCAATCAATTATTTTAACTATTTGAACTTTTTCAGACAAGAACACTAAGAGAGAGAGAGAGAGATAGAGAGAGAGAGGGGATAGAGAGGTAGTGAGAGAAAACAAGAAATTGAACATTTACTTCTTCACCCCCCACCCCATCTTTCTTTCTCGAGAGATGTGACAGCCGTGTGTCGTCAGTTATTCACATCCATCCCCCCCCAAACGATATTCTGATGGTTTGTCTAATCACTGTCATGCTTTGAATACTCTGTGTCCATCGTCCAATCCTAATCAAGTATCATGTACGTTTCATAACTGATTCAGCTAGCGTGCTTTAACATATCAGATACGATACAAATCCATAACCCAAGTCAAACCACCCTCTAATCCTGTTTTGATAAAACTCCAAATCAAACTTGTTAAAGTAGAATCTTGATATCAGGACGTTACCATCTTTGACCTCATTATCTCATCTTTCTATCTCTAATATCTCTTATGTTTTATTCAATAATTTTGTCTCTCTTAACTAGTCGCTTCAGTATTTCTCTCTAATTTTGTATTTTCTTCATTATTTCTCAACTATTGGCTTGTGAGACCGCCCTTTTCTTTACTCGGTTACCTCCATCTGCCCACCTCTATCTGATTCTTGTCCTCCGTCCAGCCTTCGTAACCAAATTAGGAGTTGATGACTTCATATACGAGTCTCTCACTCAATCTTTACCGCAATCAACCAATACTAACATTCTTTAACTTCGCATCTCTCTCTATCTCTCTCTCTCTATCACTACCTTCTTCACATTTTCTATGTTTCACTATTAGTACAACGTTTGTTGCATTTTGTTTTGTATTTTGGAACGATCGATTACGTATGGACCATATCAGGCATCCAATTGATTGTTTTCTTTTTCTCTTCTTCTCTTTACTCTTTCCTTCAGTTTTTATGTTGAAATCAGTTTTTTTTTATCATTTTTTTGAACATTATCTGCCACTTGCTTGCTCATTTCTTGTTGCCTTGCTATCCTTCCACCCTCTTATTTTGTTATTTTGTGTCGTCTGACGTGAGTTCACCAAATTTCGTATCTTATCTTTAAAGCTGTGAACTAACAGCGTTTCGATGTTTGTTCACATACAAACATACAGATCTTAACATAAAGAAGACAAGATATGCACAATCACATAAAGAGAGACAGAGAGTATGAGAGAGTCAGACTGAGAACGATAGTCAGATGAGAGGGAATGAGAAGAAGAGAATTGTGCGAAGCCAAAGACCCTTATGTTATTCTTTCTATTGGTCTATCTTGCTCTTATACTGAAAGCCCTGGATAATATATAATTATAGATGAAATTATGTATATTTACTATATGATTGTAACTGTACGTAATGTCACTAAACTCATAGTGTACCTCTTTCACTTAGCTAAGGCATGCATGTTCAGTCTTTCTAGATCTCATACGGACCCTTTACAACCTGTCTACTCATTCTGTTTCGAGTGTTGTTTCATCAGATTTATCTTGCGCTTTCAAAGTCTTTTTCTTTAATTGGTTTCTTCCTCCAATATTCCTTTTCAATTTGGTATTTCGACGTCATAAGAGTCATCTGATAGCTAAATACGGTTGTCATGGAAACAATCGATAGCTCTATGTGAAAAACTTATTGAAAATATGGCATTTGCTTTCATTCAAACTCCTTCTTCACGCATTTCATCTTCTCATTTCACTTGTTAGCTTTTCATTTACTAATTTTGTTTGTTATAATTAGAATAGACAGAGGGTCATTAAATGACCACATGATTTAGATTTTGATGATTTCACATAAATATCTTAATGAGCTATTATGTTGTAAATATTTTAAGCTTCAAGCTCTCAGGTAGTCCAACACCTGTCTTAAATGGCGAACATGGTCTTTTCCAATCATTAGTATGTACGCTGTTTCAATACAACTCACAATGCGCATTCTCCACCACTTCATTCAAGCTTTTTACCGTAATTTCATGATGGGCGGAGCTTAACTCATTTCGAATCTTTATCTATTTTTTTTTTGCATTTTTATTGAATGTTTGATTATGTAATAGTAACGTATACTATCTATCTCTGTCTTGCTCCTTTCTCATGTCTCTATCTCTCGTTAGCCTTCCTCTCTCAGTCACCTGGACATCATGGGTCATTTAGATCAATTCTCCTTCATTATTATATAACTTATTTCCCTCATTTATACATCTTCATTCTATTTCCTTCAATGGCTTCGAAGACACGTATTGAGAGTTTTCTCTTGAACATTTGATGTCTCCATTAAATTTTTTCCGCAGCTAAAAGCATCTTCTTGTGGTCTTTTCCCACCTTCGTATTCTCTCTGTCTCTCTCTCTCACAGTCTCTTTCCTCTCTTCAACTTTCGTTGTTCATTTCCTGGTCATTTTACCTTCATTGTGACCATCTTCTTTCGATTGCATGTGTATATTAACGCTTACACGCATTAGGCAAGACACTTAGCTCAAAACGATGCCTCTTGCTGCAGCAACTATTACCTCATGAGCTCATCGATGTCTGTCTCCAGCTCGATTCGTCATTTCACCTTTATCCCGTTTAGCCTCGAGCAAATGGTAGTAAAGAGATTTGCTTAACTTAACTTGGTCTTTTGTATTTCTTAAATCTTCGACATTTCCGTCTCTTTTACTTCTAAGCTTCTATCCCTTCTAATAATGTCTAACGTCATTGTCAGACAAACAGGTCGTCCCACCTCTTCTACCCATAATGTCCAAATCTCTAATCCCATGGATTTGAACAGGCAGCTGTAATATTTCCTTATTAAGAAAGTAGCAGTCAATAGCTTGTAATATTAATATTTATGCCAATTTTTGCCGTTACTAGCTCTGTTTAAAACAGACATTTGGCCCGCCTGTTGTCACACGAATTTAGTTTCCATTTGTCGGCTGTTTGAGTTTTAATTCTGGCGTTTCCCTTCAAAGGTGCTTCTGATTGCTTTCTCTTATGCGAGCGACAGCTAATGTAAATCTCATTTGTCGGTTACCTGGTGCTAATTATGGGATTAAGCATGAAGCACATTCACAGGAATTCAGACGTTACTGCTGCACATGTTGTATACTCACACGTACAGCAGCATATGCTCCTATCTAGCATTTACGTATAAGCTAGACATTAACTTATTCAGACTAATATACTTATCTATATAAAAATCATTTTATATATCCTAATTTGATTTATTATAATAATTTCATTTTTACGAACTTCACTCCGTATGTCGTCGCACCGTAATCCTAAATATCGTTTTTAGACAAACGATTTGTCAAAATTCTTTTTTTTTCAAGCTACAGCGTCTGTTTATGCTAATTTCACGTAAAAATATTGAAAAAAAAGTGAGAGAGAGGCGTGGATTGTTTTTTGTCAGCTCATTTCATTTCTAATTTGGCCGACGATTAGAACGGTTGTAATTTTTCTTTATAATACAGCGGAAATGATTAGTTTCCTTTTTTGTAGTTTTGTCTCTTTTTTTTCATCTTCTTCCTTTCTCTCTCGTTGTCGTCTTTGTCTCTGTCTAGGCGAAATGATCGAAATATCATGATTTTCGTGATATATGTTATACGTAAAAAGCCAGTTGATAACCTTCTTGCTTAGTCCGTCTTTAGCATTTTTCAAACGTTTTGACATTTCGTCTTTCATTTTTTTGCCTTTTATAACTTTCATATTTAAAATATTTTATTATTTGAAGAGCTATGAATCGATTGGAAGAACAATTATTCGAACGATATGCGGAGTTAGATCAACGCGTGGCTCAATATCGAGAAGAAATGACCATATTGGAAGACTTGTTAATTGAGATTGCTACAAGGTGCCACCATTACCAACATCGGCTTATCTCATGTTTTTCTTTTAGAAGAGATGAAGTCGAAGCAGGTGGCGAAATTATTCCAAATGATGTTGACACCCGACGAGAACGCAGACTTCACAGGTAACTTGTTTCTTATCAATGAACAAATGTAACTGTATGGTATGTCAGAAAACGCTCAGCAAGTCCATTATACGATCTCATTCGCATTGCAAGAGATGAAATTCCTCCCGCAGATCCCTTCGTATCTTCAGATCAAAAACGAGAAGAGGAGGAAGTTGTTACAGGACCAATTAAACGGTTTGTTTTTGATAAAGCTTTTGCATCTCTCATTTATGAAAAACTTTAGACTCCGAACAAATGAGAGGAGATATCCATGTGATCAATAACTTATAAATTATCTGTATATACATGAAAGTCCGGTGAAATACCGTCGAAATTCTAAGAAGAAGAAGAAGAACTTAAGAAGATTCATTTGCATATTTGAAGAAAAAAAACTTTTTTTTGTATGTTTTATTTTCATTATTTCATATTCCAAAAAACTCGAACGATTCGATAAATGTTTAAAAATTCCTAGTTACAAGTCAAGAAAACCTAATTATAAATATTTATGTACAACAGGAGAATGGCATTGCACACAGCTATAGATCATCATCACATCATCGAAGGAACTAATGAAGGGAAATATATAATCATAAACTAACATGACACTATTCCACAATGAAAGTTCAATTGAAAACAAAAATAATACAACCGATTGCCAGATTAGCCAATTACGAAATGAAATGCGAAAACTCACTTGCTCGTACTACACATCACGTACATTCCAAACAATTTTTTCTCTCTCTCTTGGCAGCTATAGGTTTCAAATGACCAGAAGTAGTTTTCTTTATGAGTCATACATTTTATTTATATTAATTTAAAGTATCTGATCGCCTGAGAAGAGGACGATAAACATGTCTCCTCTTCGCTTCTATTACTATCGCCCAATCATACATTGTTGTTGTGGTTGTGGTGACGTCATAGATATCAGGTAAACTATAAGAACATCTGAGATTTTTCCTCATTTTTTCTCACCCACCTGTATACCTTTCGCACACGTTTTAATCGTTTCGTGTTTTCGTTGTAACGGCTAATATCTCTGAAATGTTTGCTCAAACAGATATTTCCTTTTTTTTTCTGACCTCGAAGCAATGAGGACAATTGAATTCAAATGTCGATGAACTTCGATTTCAAGTCGCCAGAAACATGTGGAGCCTAGTTTAGCATCTCTAGACAGTCCCAGACTCCAAGAGTAGTTACTGCCCGCTATGTTTTCGAATCTTTTTGTCTATAAAAGGATAAAGCATTAAAGATCTCTCTGCGCTTAGGTGGCTGACTGAGTGGTCAGTTTGAGTTTAACAGTCGCTAACTTGATTTTTGCGTTTTTCGTGTATAAACAACATATAGATCTTGAAGCATTGTTTTTGGAAATTTTTTTTTCGCAGGAGCTTGTATTAGTCAAGCTAGCCTTACGAAAGCGTTGAAACTTTTGGGGAAACACGATAGCTCCCAGGTAGATCATAACATTCCTTTCGAATTCTCAGATGTTTCTCTTACTCTCCGGCATGTTCTTTTTCTTTTTTTTCTCATAATCTACTTTCCTCTCTCCAACATTACACAACGTTATCCGTCAAGTCAAACGAGTAATGCGGATATTGTCTGTCAGCTGTCAAGTAAGACAGAAATTTTCACTATTGGCTATAAGAGAAGAATCGGATTACGTGAAAGATTGAGGATCCATCTTTATGTTGAATCTCGGACATTACATGTCCATCTGTTACATCATCAATTCTCGTACGTGAACTTAGACCCCAAAAGTTTCTGAACTTAACAAACCGTTCCATTCTTATCGCCAGTTCCGCCTTTGTTAAATGGTAGACATACAACAAATTTTTCTCTGGTATATGCTCCATGAGCTAAGCCTTAAAAGACGAGAAAAGGATTTCATGAGATACGCTTGAAGGCGCTACCTTCTGTGCAGAATGGCCATGACCAAGCAAAACAACGCTCTTCCACAATTTTTTCAAGCTTTTCCTCATCAGCAACCTGTAAGTAACAGAATATTATCTCTGCTCAACTTGTATAGGATTTGTAAAAATAAGCATTAACATCACTTCAATCATGCACACAAAGCAACTTCACATTAAAGCGCTCTAACTGAAATTTTAAAAAGAAGCCAAACCGAATTACTTGATCAATTACCCGATTGTCGTTGAGATCATATTTTAATTCAAATTTCTTGTAATTCGGAAGAAGGTTGGTATCATTGAGAGTTGAAGAGCGACGGAGAGTTCCACAAGTCATTATTACCCACTAAACGAATATTTTATTTTGTACAGCTGAGAGAGAAGAGAGAAACAAAGGCAAAAAACGCTGTGATAAGTAATTGGCAAAGTGTAATATGTTTTGGAATGATTTCAAGAAGTAAGTAACTGTTCGATAGCTTTCAATACATTTCGAACTCCTAACTAACTACTCTTACTTCTTTTGAATAGAATTTGAAGCTCTGAATTGGAAAGAAGAGGTTCAGTTCAAGGCAGTTATGATTTTGAATCAATGCATGGGTGATAATCAAAGAATCAGAGGAAGATCCTCTGTATGAGTATGAGTCAAAGCAATAAGAAGTTTGTTTCAAAACAAACTAACTGAAAGGGAAGACTTTATCGTAAAACACCTAAACGTTTTTTAACGAAAAAAGTAGTCAAGCTGACTAGTGCTAAGACTTCAGCATCTTCTTCTCTCAAACTCTGCTTGTCCCTCCCATTACAGCGTTCAAATTCGAGACAGTGGCGGAAGAAGCGACAAAAAAATAAAATTAATTGAGGAAACTATCAAGAATGGGCAAGATCAAATGAAAAAAAAACCATTGGGATGTTCCATAGTGCATAGAGAGCAATGAGATTTCATTACAGTATTCAGGAGGTTGTGTTTGTCAAAATCAACCAGAACACTTGGAGGAAAAAAATTATTAAGACAACATTTTCTTTCAAAGTTTCTTTTTCATTTCGCTTTTATACTATGACCTCGGTTCTTTGACATAAGACGTACACATTCTTTGATATCCATCATCTGCTATCATTTTTCGTACTTCAGTAACTCTTTCTTGAACTTTCAAACTCGTGGAATTCTGACTCATCAATCCCAGAGATTGTATTACTCAGAACTCATGAGTAATTCGGAAACATTATATTTCAAGTTCCTGGATACAATTTGGGTGCTTCCTATCTCACAAAGCTGTCTGCAACCTCTGCAATTAGAATAATCGCACAAATGGAACCTCACGCAGGTCATACACGGCGAGGAATTTTATTTCCAATGTTTCTCACACGAAGAACGGTTGTCTTTCTTCTCTGTCTCTATAACGAGATGCTACAGTACGGTTATCTGCTACTCCATTGATGAGATGGAGAGAAACATATGCATGCTGTTTACATCGAAATTGTGTAATCATTGCAGAAGGTATTCCAAGTGCAATTTTCAAAAGTAAAATTCATTTCTTTTAAGCATTTAAATTATTGTAATGAAAGTATGCTGAAATATAATTTTTATCAAAACGATTATTAAATTGTATTTCTTCTTTGTATTTCAGAGTATGACCGTGTTCACCGGGAAATCAGAGGCTTATAGCAAACTATTACACGAAGATGTGTTAAAAGTTTTTCAACAATCTTTTTCAAGTTTCACAGACGTACAGGTATGCATTAGTCTTTTCAATTTCTTTATTTACATGATTTATCATTGGCGTTATGAACTATTCCTTCTTTGCCTTCCAAGGGAAAGAAAATATTCCCGCAGGTGTGGGTTCTCCCCAATCTCTATTGATAGTTATGTCGTGTTCTTTAATTTCTATTCCTACAACTCTCGATAGGAATATTGCTGTTAATATAGAAATGACAATAACCAAGATAGCGAAAACGTAGAATGTTTCCTGAAAGAAATATTTTGTATGAATGATTTGTGTGAGCTTCTTACTTCATCAAAGAGATCATTAAATCTTGGAACGTTATTGTTGACATGGTTGATCATTTCTAAAACCCATGCTGCTCTTCCTTTTGGTCGTTTTTGCTGATAGTAGTAATCACCCCATCGTGGATCTTGGTTGTTGCTCATCTGCAAATTCCCAGTTAATTTAGAGCAGTAAGTATAAACGGCGATAAAAGCAAATCTAAAAAAATTTGGGAAATTCAGAAATGAAAACGTTGAGTTAGCTTAATTTACTTTTGAATAAGGGTGAAGTAGGGATAAAGCGCACAGATCGATATTGTGCGATGCAGCAGCTGGGGTGCAAACAGAGCACGATTTAAGCCAGCACACCAGGAACTACGAAAATGAGCTAATTGATGCCACTTGCAGATCAAAGCAGGAAAGGAACTTCTCACATTTAATGACGTTATCGTTGAATCGCCCACAGGTTCAGGAAAAACTTTATCGTTCCTTCTCCCATTATTCACTCTTCTCAAAAATAGAACCAAGGTGATAGTTAAGAAGTTTTTCGGATAACCAACTTGGGTTTCAGCTAGAAAAATTGGACATTGGAGCACTCATTGTTTCTCCTTCAAGAGAATTAGCAAAACAAATCGCCAATGTAGGTTCCCATTCTTCAACTGGATTAAAACATCTCATTCAGGTGGCTAAGCCATATGCAGATGCTTTAGGGTATACCATTGGAACCGCTATAGGAGGATCGAAGTCAGAAAATAGTTATAAATCTCTTATTAAAAATGGGTACGTTATTTCCTCATCCAAACTTTTCTGAAATCAACTTCTTTCAGAGGAAATATTTTGATTGCTACCCCTGGCCGTCTCTACCAAGTTCTTGAAATGGATAAGGATGAGAAAATTCAAAGACGCTTAAAGAAACTAGAAGTGTTCATTGCTGATGAAGCTGATCGATTCAACGAGACACAGTTTGAAGTTCAGTAAGTTGAAAACATTTGAGATGGTTATTTAGTCATTTTTTCCAGTATTAAAGCTATTCTTGCTGCCATACCTAGACAAAGAAGAACTGGTCTTTTCTCCGCTACACAGGTAGAGTTACTCACAATGACGGAGAGTTCAATATTTCCCTAGGCTAAAGAAAAATCTGATTTGGCCGTTTTCTCTTTGAGAAATGCTAAAACCATCAAGCTAAGAGAAAACAACGATACCGTTGCTCCATCTTCTCTCAATAATTTCTACACTGTAAGTGTCTAGCTTAAGACCACACTTTGCAAGAAATATCGTTCTAGGTTTGTGAAGCTGCAGAGAAACTCATGTGCGCTATTGAGTTCATTAGAAATCATAAAGATAAAAAGATCCTTCTCTTCTTCCCATCATGCTGTGGAGTAGTCTATTTCAGAGCCGTGAGTTCCTTCGCTCAATTCATTCTTACATAGTGTTCAGATCTTGGAACATGTCAAACTGAAACGCAAAATTTTCGCTGTTCATGGTAAAAGTAGTCAGAAGCAAAGAACTGACGAGGTAGGAAACGATTTGATTTTTTCTGAAAAAATTCGTTCATTCCAAGATTGCCAATTTCCGGAAAAACGATAACAGTATCATGCTCTCTACCGATGTAATGTCAAGAGGTATTGATATTGAAGACATCGATTGGGTAATTCAATTCGAAATCCCTAAACTTTCAAGGTATGTCCATGCGATAGGAAACATCATCAAATTGTTAATTTAGTTGGTTCATTCATCGAGCCGGAAGAACCGCACGCTGTGGAAGAGAAGGAAATGCCCTCCTCATCTTGACACCACAACAAACAGCGTACACACAGTTTTTGGAAACTCACGAGAAAGTTGCATTGAAAGAATTGCATGTAAAGACAAGCAATGCTGACAAAGCAAAACAGCTCCGTGAGAAAATTATAAAAATGGCTTGTGCCGACAGGTTAGTCCGTCTTTTCGTTAAATCATGACCGTTTTCTCTTTAGAAGCTTTTTGGAGAAGGGTACTAAGGCTTTTGTGTCTCATATCGAATCTTATGTGAAACACGACTGCAATGTTGTGTGCGGCTTGAAAGGTTTGTAAAATTTTCATTATTCATATGAGCATGCATGTTACAGCTCTCGATGTTCCTGGCTTAGCTCATTGCTACGGAATTTTGCGTTTACCTAAGATGAGAGAGCTCTCAGAAAGAGCTGACCTTTCCAAGTTTGAACGTAGTGAAATTGATACATCTACCATTCCATATTTGAACGAAAAAATGGAAGCTAAGCGAGAAGAGGTATTGTTTTGTTGGTGTAGATTGCCTTTATGATATGTTTCAGATTATGAAAGTAAAGCACGATAAGAGAGTTGCCTTCAAAAAACAGAAGGCTATAGATTTAGCGGAAAAGAACAAGAGAATGAATAAGGGCAAAGAACCACCAAAAAAATTGACTAAAGAGGAAAAGGCCAAGGCGGAAAAAGTTAGTTATTTGCTAAAGTTCTCCGTCTAGTTAACACAATATAGGATGAGAAAAATCTGAAACGAAAAGCAACCAAAGAAGCCCAGAAAGAGCGTGATGACTTCGAAAGTGATGTTCAGCTGATTAGAAAAATGAAACGAGGAAGATTGAGCAGAAAGGAAATGAATGATTTAAGAATTTAATTGTTATAACTATTATTGTTGACTTGTTTTGTTGTCCAACTTGTTATTGTTGAAGTTTGCATTAAATGAAAATTTACCTCACTTTTGACTGTTACCAATGTTGTGTGGTGCTGCTGGCGGTTTGTTTCCTTGATTATCTGAATTACTACTAGTCCAAAAGGAAAATGCAACCGGTCAACTCTGGTCTTCTCTCGAGAAATGAAAAACTGACTGGTTCAACTCATTTCGTATTCGTCTCATCTCATTTGCTTGTTCGATCTGTTGGAGAAATGCAAGGTGGGGTAAAGTATTTTATAGATTACAGGGTAATTACAGGTTGGTCGAACAAATATAATTTATATCACAACGAGGGAAGGAGATTCGGAGTTATTAGGGAAAGACTACGCAGACTTCTAGTTTTGGTTATAAGGCACCGTAGCTCTGCATGAAATTTGTTCATAAAAGAAACAAATTAACAAATAACAAAAATGAGGTAAAACATTGAAAGTATAATATAATGATGATGCATAGATTGAGAATTGGATTTGGTGTTGATACTGCCATTATCTACCCGCGATGATGCCTGTGTGCTGATACTTCTGCAATACTAGGTATTATTTAGTTTTAAAGTAAAACCTACAACCTGGATGTATAGTTATTCTCACAGTGATGTCGTAAGAATGTGTGGATTGATCGGTAGACCCCTGATGAGCCGCAATAATTCGAGTCAAGTAAGCTTCGATCCTTAATTTTTATTTTTTTCCCAAAAATCTTTTTCTCTCTTACGGGATGAGCCTGCATCCATTTGATGTGACAGCCACAGTCAACTGTGTTCTCTTCAAACCGTGTTTGAACAGCGTCAGACAGTATGCTCTCAGTTGTTTCGAGAGATTTTATCATGTTACGTGCTATTCGTAATCTTCCTAAGTTCACCACTCCTAAAAACATACAAGGGAAGTGAGAATGATCTCGCATGATTGATGTACCGGTGAAAGCTCGAGCTGCCAACGAATTAATCTGATTATCAAATAGTTCAATGGTTTCCACTGTATGAAGACCATCAAATGCCCCTGATGCTATTCTTGAGATCTTACATCGTTGTATTAATAACTGAAAGTATTGTTCTTTAAGAGTATTTCTTTTTCCTTTTTCGGCAACTATAGAGAGTAAGATTGAATGAAATGCTCTATAAACGTGCAAGCCGAGGGAGTGTTCTCAGTTTTATATTCAGGAGCTGCTAACAAACAGCTTCCGGATAGAATATGATACATGTTTCGTCTTCCCTCATTTCGCACATTACGTTTGCAAGAGATGAAAATGAGATGAAGAAAAAAAGCTTGGATTCAACTCTAAAATGCTTTACGGGTGGGTTTTATGTTTCGTTTGACAACTGTTTCTAACAGCTTTTTTCAAAAACAATTGTTAGCACGGACTGATGGAAGTTTAAGGGAAGAGTATTGATTGATAAATAAACGAACAAAATGATATTTTTGATATTAAGAGATTAGAATGCGATGGAGGAAGATTGATTGGATGATAATGAAGATGAAGACGACGATGATGATGATCATTAACACATTCTTTCATTTGAAATTACAACGTCAAAATTCTGAAGAACATCGGTCATTTCTCGTCAATTTGATGCTCATTTGACAGATGCTCAACTTATGTAAGTTTTCATCTCATCGTTGTCTACAAGACTCATAAGCTCGTAATTAAAATGCTCAGAGCATTTGGCAGTTTTTCAACTTTGACAGACTTGTAAACTTCCTTTTCAATTCAATCAACAACGCATCTTCCTCTTCCGTTTTTCTCGTCATAAAAAGGCTTTTATTAGAAAATTTTGTAATTTTAAGTTGATGATAATAGATCAGATTTCGAGACACATGTCATGTAAGCCTAACCTCGAAAGATGAAATGAAAAGCCAAAAGCTGAGAAAAGATTAATGGATTCAACGACTATGTGTGACATGATGAGGGCAATTGCTTTACAGAAGAAGCTAATCAGATGCATTATAACTGATTATATTGAAACTCTTCTCACTCACCTGATGAACATGAGCTAATCCTTCGAATGTCTCGGGTGTTAATTCAAATTGCGACTCTTTGATATGTATTATGTGGAAGCGAGTTGAATTTGTAAATAACTGTGGTTCAACCATCACGACGCCACTTAGCGTCAAGAAATCGAGCTGAAAACCAAATTTGGTTGAAGCTGTTGTCATTTTCTCTTGCTGTCTTAGTTCAGCTCATCTGGTTACCTGAGTAATTGAGGCGAAAGCGTGCCGGGATAGCGCCAAATCACTTCCAGATATGGATAACTCACGAATGTTATTGGCATGTCTTAAATGTAAACAAAAAAATTTATTTTGAATTCGCAAATGTCATTTTTCACCTGAATGCTCCGCCATGAATTCGTTGTATTGGAGTTTCATGGAAACGAATTTTCAAACCTTGCTTATTGGAAATTCCTGAGAAGGCTCCTTTGCAGATCTCATGGAGACGTGGACAGTTCGAAAAGCTGATAAGTCTGAAGTTGTTGGTTGATAAGCGCTAACATCAACATTCATTGTACTACTATCGCCAATGGAAATGCTTTCATTCATCCAAAAATGAGCTGTTTTTCAAGCTTTTTCTCTTTTAACAAGAATTTTCAAGGATTTTCTACGATGAAAGAGAAGAAAATGAGAAAGATTAGAATAACCTTATGTATTTCATTCCTTTGAAGGCGAACTTGTCTATCTGATCAAGTTGCTCTGAATTCTCAAATCGAACTTCCCGCAACTCGTCCATTCGTCGAAAAGAGTTTTTGGGAACGGAGCGAATGCTCGTGTTTCTCATGATCAGAGTGTGATATCCTTCAATAATGATTATCGTCGTTGTTGGCAGAAAGATGCAGAAAACATCTGGATGTTCATTTTACCTGATGGAAGAATATCCGGAAGTGTCAGAAGCAACAAGCCGCCACATGTCACCTGACATTCAATAGATTAGAATTGAAAAAAATGGTTTTTTTTTGTTGTAAAATTTTCCGATTCCTTAATGAGGTTCGCGTGAATGAAAAAATGCTTCTGTGAGAGAAAGATCAAAAGCAGAAGTAAAACTACCCGGAATGTGAGAGAACAGAATAGGGCCGTTTGAAGGAAAAATGCTGGGAGGGAGAGCGAGCATTAATTTGTTGTTTTAATCGTAGTTTTAGAGAAAAGACTGATTTTCAGCTCTTTTTTCCGGTTCCGTTTTGTAAGTTTGAAAGCTAATCAACTTGCTATTTGTGAATTTGTGTCTTTTCTTTAATATTAAAAGCTCCCTCTATTGGCTGATTCTGAATGATTTCGGCCGAAAAGGAAAGCTTGGAGAAGAAGAAGAAATTTTGAGAAACAAACATCTCTGGAAAAATACAAAAGAATCTGTGGAGACGTTTAATTAAAAACATTTGGTTTGTTATGATAGAGAGACGGGGAGAAGGGGGGGGGGTGTTCTGAAACTTTGGAATAGAGAGATAGAGAGAGAGAAAGGGCTTATGAGAGAGAAGAAAGAAAACATTGCTTGAGGCTAAATCATACATGTTGTGCAACCTTATAAACTAAGTTGTTCTCATTCTTTCGAAGGAGGAACGAAGTTATTGCCTGCTGACCGAGAAAAGGCTTTAAAAAAATGGAAATTTTCAACAATCTTTCGTCTAAGAATATTTGAAGTCGAAACAATCGAAATGTCTGCCACACATAATGAAGGGCAAAAGCAACGTAGAAAGAGTTTCTATAGTGAGAAAAGTGTTTGACTTACCGTTTTTTCCAATTCGTCGCATTCGCAATCATCCGGACATTTGCCACTCAAGACTGTGGTAGTGAAAAATATGAAAAACAATAATAATGTCCGATGGACGACGGTGTTTGTGGTGGCGAACAGAATATTCATTCCTTTCATGTCATTTTAAAGTTCAACAATTTATTTTTTATCTGAAAACTTTGCTTATTAACAAAATTAATGCTTCGAACAAAGTTAATTGGAATCAAGAAGTGCTGTCTATAAGAAGGGGAATAGGGAGCAGTAGAAGAGGGTGAGAATGAGAATTCAGTGAGAACGAGAGAGAATCAGAGAATGAGGTAATGTTACGAGAGAATGGTCGGCTGAATTCTGCAAAGGCAATGGACACGACGTTATTCTTAAAAATATTTTTAAGGAGCATAACTTCTTGAGAACATTAAGTGACTGTGTTTTCAAAACAATTTCCAAAAGGAAAATGACCACGAAAGTTGAAAAGTTGAGAGGCGGTTGAAATAGTGAGAGAGAAAGAGGGTAGAGTGAGGGAAAGGTTAGCGGATAACATTTGAACTCATTGCTTTAAGCTTATAAGTCGTTATCTTCAATGTTTTTAGGCGATCGGCTGAGACAAATAAGAACCACGAAGATTATTTAATAACAAAAAACGAAAAATACGAGACCGGAAATCACATGCGTTCACAAATGGACGTCTTGACGTAGATGGGTGACTGGCATTGCCGGCGGTGAATAGAAGATGATGGAAATTAAGGAAAGGAGAGAGGTAAGTACTTGTTTCATTGGGTGATGATGTGATGATTTTGATTGATGAACTATTTAAGAAGATGTTTACACTTTACAAATATATAGTAAACAAGAGATATGTAAGAGAACTAATCAAGTTCTCTGTCGGCTTCTTCTTCTTCGAAATGTGGCAACAGCCCCTTCGAGCTTCTAGGCTATCTCTTCCTTGGCTACTCCTCCTCCTACTCCTCCTTTGCCAATTCCTATGTATGTCTGTAGTCTCTGCACTCTTTTCTACTTTTCTTTCTTTCTTTTCTATTTCTATCTCTCTTAATCTACTCACTATTCTTGCATCTTAAGATCAAATGGGCGGTACCTAATGATTTAGCTTATGTTCCAACAGCTTTATTTTGGAAAATGATGTGCTTGCCAACATGTAATCATCTATACCTCTAGAAGTTTTCCAATTGACTTGAAGTCTTTGCTAGTTCTAATCTCCAGCCTGCCTCCTCCCTCCCCCTCTCTATCTATCTCTATCTGCATTGCCTTTTTTGGTTTTGAGATTTGGAAAAGATTGTTTTAGATGGCTCAATAACCAACTTTTGACGCAAAAAAAAAGTTTTTTTCTCTTCTCCGCTTCTTAATCACAAAGAAAGTCAAGAGACAGCAGCTGATTCGAAGAAAAACATTGGAATATCCAATAGAATTCACAAGTTGGAATCAACTTTCACGAATCTAATTACTGGAATATTTATAAGAATTGGATAACGTAGAGGTGTAGACAGGAGGAAAAGAAGCTGAAGATGAAGCATCTGTCAGATTGTATCAATTTACATATGTCGTACATATCATTTGTACCGGGTTGAACATCTCTGAAGATGTAGTTCTTAAAATCTTTCATTTCATATATACGTTAGGTTGTTCCCATCACACATATCTATGTACATCTCCCTCTTAATCCCTAAAAGCATCAAATAAGAGGGAATGGATAGGAGTAGAGATGAATGAAATTGGGGAGGACACGTGAAGCAGAGAAACGAACATGCTGAACTCTAAAGATTGAATATGGTTTTCCCTTGTAGGTTATAATGCTCTTAAGATCATCATGCACTCCATCTCTATCTTTCTCTCTCTCTCTTCATCCTTCTGCACTTCTCTTTCCATGTCTTTCACTTGAAGAAATGTGAATCTGTGAGTTAGTAGTGAAAGAAGGAAGAAGAATCAAATGAGATAAGCATATTAATGTCGGCTTATGCTTCAAACTTGTCTTCGATGAAAAGTACTTTGAAGCATTTCCTTAAAAGCGACTACTCATATATAAAGTCATCAAAATCAGGATAGCCTCAGGCATTTCGCATTAGGAGCGTTCAGTCCAAATAATATTAAGACCACATTATCATAGAAGAATATTCTTTCGAGCTTTCAAGTGTAAAAACGATTTCACGTGAGTTTTGTTTTCATTTCGACGCTTCATCCACTGTTTTCCAAAACAATTTGAGGTTTTTTCGGAATTTTCGATTGAAATCACAAATGAAGAATGTTCAAAGGCTTGTATCCGCTTCATAATTCATTCCCATTATTCATTTCTGCAAAAAAATTTTGATAATCACAGGTTGCTCTTCTGATTCTTATTGAAGGGTAGGTCTTCTTACTGAATTTCGTATCTTCATTTGTTGATCTCCGAACAATCTCAGTTTACAAGACAGCTACTTTACTAGGCTCATATATGTCACTACAAGGTGTTCAAATACACCCATGGATGAAGATTTGTACGTGTTTTTGCGTTCCAAACGCACTCATGCACGAGAACATTGAACTTTCGTTTATTTTTGGCATAGTTAACATGTTTATTGTTCTAAGTTATATAACCTTTCCTTAAAGCTGTCTATTTGTTTTTAACCTATACCAGAAGATTGAAGAACTTGAACGCTAGCCAACTGTCAATTCTAGATTTTCATATTTGGAAATACAACTTCGTGTTTAATTCGTGTCAATGAGACGTCTCATAGAACTTTCCCGACTTGTGCTCTAGTCTCAACACATAGCCGCACTGTTCTACCCTTTATGCCATATTTGTGTATGAGAACCTTTGTTTGACTCAAATATAACTTCTTATTTCATGATATGAATGATTCTAGTTGTTAATGGGCTCATCCACATCTGAGAAGTTTCTCTTGCTAATATCTCGCTTTCCTCAATTCCCTCGAACTTCCCTCTCTTCCTAACCAATCGAGAGTCTGATTCTCCCTTGTCAATGTAGTTTAGTTTATGAGGTTCATGTTCAATCAGTCGATTAGTCTGTCATCCTTGTGTGGGCATATTACTTTTTCAACTATCGATTGTTTATAAGATAACTTATGGCCAGAACCGTCTTGTTAGATTTCAACCGAAATATTCCTTTTCGAGTGAAATCCGAGAAAATTCATTTTTCACGTTTTATTTACTCACTCTTTTCATTTCTTGTTAATAATATTTGGCGTTTGTGTGTTGTTTCTGTTTTCTTCATTAAGTTCTGATTTATAGATCCTACATGCACAATTTCAACTACTATGTTCGTCTCTGCTGTGAATAGAAAGGGAATTCTAAAGATGAGTTTTCCACTTCTGTTTTTCTAAACTGAATTTACGTTTTTCAGGAGTTCCTTTTCTGTCAGGAAGACCACAGGTAAGTGTGTTAATGAGTTCGAAGAGTGAAAATACATGGATTTTTTGAGAGATAACTTGAGCCTCTCAATCTCTGAAAAGTTCTTAACTAATTGTATTTTACATTTTCTCATGTGAGCTACTAAAACTGTAAATTCTGCTTGTTCAGTCCCACAGGCCCCACCTCGAGGGTTGAGCGAAATGATGTTACATTTTTAGTTGAAAACTTGATTGAAGATTTGAAAGAACAATTATCTGGCTTACAGAGTTTTTTTGAGTGTAGTCGAGAGAGAAGTTAGTAGTAGGACTGTGTGGTGAGGTGTGTGTGCCGGGCTCCTCATATAAGGAGTCGGTGATGGGTCTGTTTAGCTAGACCCCTCACCGAAGTGGATAAATCTTTTTTCGACGTTTTTCATCCATCCTTTTTGTAGGACATAGATATACTAGGGATATGGGGCCAAGTGGAGTAGGTGGTAAAGTGCTAGCGGTGAAAGGTACTCCAGGGTACGATCTCCGTTGAGAAACATCTTGAAAGGTTAGATCTGGGTAATACCCCGGGTAGCCTAGCCAGCCGGCCGGCCAGACATGAGCCCCGGTGTGGGTGATGTGAGTGAGTGCGGGTGAGAAGAGAAGATAATGTAAAATAGAATATAGAATAACTTTTATTGGAAATTTTTATTGTTGTTGTTTTTCTGTATTGTACTCCCTTCTACCTCTCTCTCCATCAACCTCTCTCTCCTACCCCTCCTCTCTTTCACTTCTCGCTCCTACTTCCCCTCCCCCTTTAACCTCTACCTCTGTTTCCCGATTTCTCCAACCGTTTAACCCTTGACTTCCTAGCTCTTCAAAACTTCTAACTATTAAATTGTACTAGGTTCTTTATCGGTTTTTCTTATCAACTTTTGGCAAGAATATCTGCACAACTTCCAAGTAATCTTACTGATTAGGGACACCTTACGCATTTTAAAGTTGATTCCGACTAAATCCGGTTAAACGGAACAGCGTACTCGCAAGCAAAATTGTACAAAATCAGAATTGACAGAATCGATTCAATCTTCAAACAATGATGAAGTCCCAAACTTTACCGATTACTCTAATACTACAAACAAAAACATTTTGAACAAAGTGAAAGGTTTCAAGTCTATGAAACACTTCACAGCTGAACAGAGAAGAGAAGAGAACAACTGCCAATCTTGATATCAACAATGGATCAAACTAATGAATCTCTCATGATCAAAACTTGATGAAAGTTCATAATCTATTATCATGACTTTTCGAACCGAAAAAAATCTAAGTCTAAGCCTACTGAAGGTCTCGTTCCTCACAAATTCATCACATAGTTCACTCACCCCTCCAACAAAAACCCACTCAATAAATTTTTTTTCCAAAAGTAACAAGAACTTATTCTGAAAAATAGACTCTCACACTGGCATCACCCTCGTACTCTCAGGAGAAACGAGCAAACAGTTTCATAGAGAGGAATAAGGCGATAGGCAGTGTAGGCGCCATTTATACGTACGAATTTAAAAAAATATCGCAATTGGAGATCGTTACATTGAGATCAAACTATCATACCAAACTATATCTTCAAACACAAACACCACTCCAGAAAAACTGAGATATACATTAAAAAAAACTATTATGAAGTGAGCAAAGCCTGACAGCACGACCGCTTTGTTGCTTTCTGTCTATGCTCGAATGAAACACTCTGAGAATTCATTGTTCTTCAGTACAGTTTTGATGTAGCGGTCGTGCTCATGAGCGCCATGAAGGTAGACAGCATACATATAGTTGAACAACAAATCAAGAAATTTTAAGTAATCTTTCTAACGATACGCTACGTACAGACGTCAACCAGAAAGTGGTTTGTAAAAAGAGTTCATTTACAAGTAATTACAATAAAATTGAAATAAGCTTCAGAAAAATATCCGAATTCATCTCTTCTCATCATTAGATGATTAGAATGAACAAGGATCAAAAAAATAAAAAGACAAGCAGTTAGAACTTTCTTGTTAAGTAGCTACATAATAATTAGAATATGAAGCCATTCCCAGTTGTAAATACATAGCTTTGGCGTTTCTTACAGTTCTTCTGATTCAATGAAACCATTTGTATAGACACGAAGCATGAAATCAGCTTCCTCGTTGGGTTCGAATGTTGATGGCACAATCACGTAGTTACCCGGTGGAACACGGAATCTTCCGGTCATCTGTAAATTTAGTGGTAACAAGATGAGTTCAAAAACAGCTAACCTCTCTGAGATTGATGAAAGCTGAACTTCTCATAGCAGATTTGTTACCTTGGAAGAATTGTTTTGATAATCTTCCTCTATTACCTCCCGCCTGAAAGAATATGAATCATGTGCATAATAACTATTCGTGAAGTGGTTATCAGTTGAAAGCTAAAGCGGTTAAAATCAACGAAAACAACAAAAACTTCAAGCTAAGATCTCTATTTTACCGTATCTTAGAAGATAAAAAATCTTACATTGATCTGTAAATAGTTGATATGACAACTAGTATTATATGATAAAGGTATGAATGATAAACTTACATCGTAGACTGCAAATCCAATTGGCACGTTGTCCAATCCTTCAGCCTTCAAGTTACGTCTATAAGCAAAATAATGCTTTAAAGGGGGTTCTAACGATCACGAGCATACCTGAACTTCTGCATGACGGCAAAGATGACAGTGCACAAATCGTCATCATCATCTGGATCTGAGTCTGTCAATTGAATTCGGAACTGTGGATTGTTGGCGAATGTATCTTGAAACAATTTCGATAATAATCATCACTCATCAATCTTCTTACTAATATAATTACGGCAACCACCAGCAGTTTGATTGGAAACCCAGGCTCCATCATGGGTATTGGTAGCCCAAACTTGACCAGCTGAGCGAACTCCTGTCATCTGAATGCTCACAAATTGAGGAAACCGAAATATGACTCAATTGGTACCTGATAAACTTCATCCATAACATCAGGACCTAAGTTACAAATTTCCATTTTTTGGAAGTTGCGAACAAAATCTTCGAAGCTCATCCAGAATTCTCCATCATGATCAAACTTGAGTCCCATTTGACTCTTTACGTTGTCATCAATAGATCTCCATTCACGGGAATTATCAGACCAGGGTCCATTCCATTCCTAAAAAGAGGTATACCGTTTCAAAACCAATATAGACAACGAAGAAAGGCTTACCTGTTCATTACCCCATGGGTTACGAATACGTAAGATACATGTTTGTCCATTTGGTCCATCAACCATTCTCATTCCAGTGATTGAATAAGCATGTCCCTATAAAGCAACAAGTGAAATCGTAATGTTACAATTAGACAGTTCATAATGATAAATTGTTCTTTAGAACATACTTTGACAAGACCATTTGGAAGTTTAGCTTCCCATTGGTTTGGATCTGCTTCGATGGAGCATCCGAACAATGATCCCATTTCGAATCTGAAGATACAGTTAGGAAATATTGCATCTTTCAATTTCGATTACCCTCTCATCATCATTTGCAATAAATTACGTGGGGGATTGATCAAGTCAATGAACTCGGTTAATCCTCCAGTCATATCTTCCAAAGCTTCAGAGGTGGTTCCACCCTTCAATGCTTCATACGAGCCATGTAACCTTAGAAACAAAAAAGACTTTAAACTTCTTTCATTGATCTTACTTGGCGTAAGCTTTCTCAAGTAGAGCACTCCAGAATTCTTGATTTGAAGCAGAATGCATATAGATGAGTTCACCATTGCTTGTTGGTAGACGATCGTCAATAACAACGTCAACCCATTTTCCATATTGCCAGAATTGGAAATGGAAAATACCTGGAGTAATAAAGAATTACGAGATATTTGTGTATTAATACAAACCAGCATAGTTTTCAGTGAAAGATTGATCTGGAGGAACAACACGGTAGAACAATTCATCTTTCAAAGTAAGATTGGCAGCGGCGGCAAGAAGCCAGCAATCTCCAAGTTCTCCCTAAACATCAAATGCTTAGACCAATAAATGTAATGAAAAATACTTGAATAACATCGAAACGTGATTGTCCCTCACAAATCAGTTGAGGTTCTTGGACAATTTCCTGAAAAGGTTGTTTGTAGGAAAATGCAACCAGCAAAACTGTTGAGATGATTATCGCAACAATGAATTCATATACTTACACCAGGTCTGAGCCATTCAATACGTTTTGATGGTCTCTTTGAGAAATATAAAGAAGAGTCTCCAGCTGGGAAATGAGGATCTTCGAAAAGTCTCTTCTCCTAAGAAATAATGATATGAATGAATGTTGTAGCTACTTCAATCTTACCGATAGGCATCTGTCTCTTTCATCGTAGAAGTCGATTGGCTCGTATGCCTTTCCAGGAGAGAGAGGACTTGGTCCTGATCCTCCTCGTGATGGTTCTGGACGAACAAATGGATCAACCTTTAAAGAGATGAATGATGTTGTTGCCATAAATGAGAATACATACATCACGTCTGAACTTTCCAGAAATGATGTTATCCAAGACAACTTTTCCAATATTTCCAAGAGAGTTGTCTTTACCTCCCAAGCCCATGATAACATTACCAGCAACGGCACCTATGAGAAGATAGATATAAGATGATCCTCTTCAGTATAATTACCAATAATTTTTCCTGTGTTTGGATCAACTCCAAGGAAACGATGAGCCGCTTCTCCGATCAAATTTCCAATCATGTTGGCCATTCCACCATTCAAACGGTTTGGATTAATGTTAGCTCCTGTACACGTATGTTTCAAATTGTCGCCGAGTTGAGCCAGAACAAACCTCCCCCACCGAATTGGCCACCTCCGCCACCACCGATGAGGCTTCCGATGCCACCAAGAATGGAACCAAAGTTTCCACCTGAGCCTCCGCTACCTCCTCCTCCGCCGAGAGAATTGATAATTCCTTGAATATACTCATATTAACACTATAAAATTTTAAGGAAAGATCAACCTCCAATATCATTGAAGTTGAAGCCGCCGCCGCCTCCGCCGCCGCCGCCTCCTCCACCACCAGAAGAGCCTCCTCCGCCTCCGCCTCCGCGGTTACCGATAAGGCCCCCGAGGATGTTGCCGAAATCATTTCCTTAAACAATACAGTTACAGTTTAATGGGTAAGCAATAGGTGGTGCAGAAGAAGTGGAAGAAGTGAAAAGCAAGGAAGGTGTGGTGGCACGAAAAGCATCAGATTGAATTAGATATTAACAAATACATTTAATTAGTTTCAAACTAATGAGTATGTATTTCTAATTCTAATTGAACGACACAATTAGCACGAACACAACGAGAAAACGTATGTTTGTAGAAGGAAATGCTTCTCTTCTTCTTGTTGAATGAGGTACCTCCTGATTTGTTACGATTATCATTATAACCTCCATGTCCTTGGTTGCCATTGGCTGGATCATTCTTTCCGGAACGGTTCATGATATTTCCAATAAGGTTGCTGGCTGCTCCACTTGAAATTAAACCGCCGATCAAATCCATTGCTTGATCTCTCTTTCTCCGAGGCTCCGATGGATTATTCCCCCCTCCTCCTTGATAGTTGAAGCCATCTAAACCACTACTTAGCACATGAACAACATAAAAAACAACAGGTTATACAGAGCAAAGGTGCTTTGGCACAGTAAAGCTCATTAGTTAACCTTCTAACTAATGCGCTTCATTGAAAAGGTAAAGCTTGAACAAAAAATCAAAAGAGTAGCGAAGGAGAAAGCACACGCTCTTCGACAGCTCACAAAGCATTTGCAGGTATCTGTTGGTCAATTTATCTAAGTTGCATACCTCCGCCACCTTGGTGTCCACCACCTCCACCGCCGTTGTTGAAGATATTTCCAGCTAGTCCAGCCAGAATGTCTCCACCGGGACCTCCGACTTTATCTCGGATTAGATTTCCGGCGATGTTACCAATAAGTCCATTGAACTCATCTGGTTTGACTTCAACCTAACCAAATAAGATAAAGATTATATGAAAAGATAATAAAAACCTTTTGCATAACTTCTTCCTCGTCCCCCATCTTGTGTGATTGGGTATTCTGATTTTGACCGTTTTCTTCTTTCTTTCCGTAAGGAGTTTCTTCCGGAGAAACGGCCCGTTCAGAGTCTAGAAAGTCCAAATAACTTTTTTGTTCGAATATGAAAAGCACATAAAAAGCAACACATGCAAACAAATCAAATATTAAAAGGGAAATTAATTTGCAACTCCAACCATGAGTGAAACGACTAAGAGCTTTAGCCGTCCGTGTACATCAGAACGCATACAACTTCAAACTTAATTTCAGGATCAGAAATTAAGTTATTCGTGCATTTGAAACAAAAAACGAAGGAAAAAGAAGAAGTTGGGAGAAGAAAACAACCAACGACGACATCCAAACATTGGAAACAAACTGAATGAGATAGGAATATGAACATCATCTTTAGGGAATTGCTTCCTTTCTTTGACATCACACAACGAACAAAAACAAAACAAAAATAATGATAAACTGGTTGAAAGTTACAATTGGTGAGAGGCCCTTCCCCCTCTCTCTCTCTCTCCTTACCACACTACCCTGACAACATATAGAAGCAGAAATCAACTAAAGGGAAAGTAAGTGTTAATAAAAGTTACAAAAATGATTTGAAATAGCACTGACGAGGAAGAAATCAATAGAAGCAACAGAAGAATCTATTCAGATTTCCCTGTTTGCAGCGAAAAGAAGAATGAGGAAGAGTCATAAAAGGCAGAAGAAAACAGTTTTTTTCACTCAAAAATTGACAAAAGATAAGAGAACTGCAAGAGGTGCACAAAAACAAGATTGATATGAATAATGATCCATTTTATATGACTAAGACTAAGCTTCATCTAACGCATTATAAATCTACATCATGAGCATAGTATTGCGAAAGCTTAATGACGAAGAGTGAGGAACATATAGTGAGAGAGGGAGAGAAGAGAGTAAGATAGTTGAAAAGAAATAGCAACAATATAATTTTGAAATTGTTAGCCAATAGATGGCTGATTACTATAAATGGTAAACATATAGGAAAGTTGCTTGAGTAGTAGTCATTAACATCCGACTCTCTCCGTCTGACTCTCTTTCAGCTTTTTTTTTTCGAAGGAGCAATAACGTTGTTTTCTGTGTCGTTTGGCATTGCATTGAAATCGATTGAAGCCATGGGCACAAGTAGACAAATATATGAAAACGACATATTTTCTAAAAGAAATCAAAAGAAAATAAAAGTTTTGAACGGAAATCAATCACTCTGCCAATTACACTGGAATCTATATGAGAAATGGGGTTTTACTGCAAAAAAAAGGAAAGTTGAAAAGTAACGTGTAGAAAGAGAAGAAGAAGAAGGAAATTTGAAAATGAAACAGAGTTGGAAGAAGGTCGAAGCTGGAGTGGAAGAAGAAGAAGAGGAAGAAGAAGAAGAATGAGGAAAAACAGCTGCAACACGTTGAAGTCGGATGCATTACCAACTCCTTGTTCGAAGAACGGCAGTGTTGAAGAAGGGCATGGGAAAAGCAGAAAATACGTTTCATCAACATTTCGTAGTCGTCCAGAAGTAATGAATGATTGAGAAGAAAGAAAACACTGAATGTACATGAGAAGAAGAAATAAAAAAAATTTTGGCAGAAGTCTTTGAACGGACTACAAACATCGGAAAGTAAATAAAGTGTGTGGTGAAGAATCTGTAAAATGTACATAATATGGGAAATGAAAGGTGAATAGTCTATGGAAAACACACAAGCAGTTCGTCAGTTACACAAAACTCAAAACACATTGGCACATGCTTTTGCCATATTCGAATATATATATAGGAATGCAATGTGAATGAAGCTTACCCATCATACAGCATTGAAACAAGCTCATGGCGTATATGTATTAGACGCGAGTAAAATAGTCTTCACTGACTTTGTTGGGAAAATATGTTGAAATGGACAATTTGCTGCACCAGCACCGAGACCGATCGTTTAAAACTGTTGGTCTGATTCTATTTCCCAATGAGCAAATGCTATCTCTCTGTCTTATTTTAGTAAGCTGGCCAAGAAACAGCTTGTCGCATGGAGAAAAAAAAAGAAGAGGACAAGGATCAAGCGTGAGTCAAATCTAGGCTTGAGCCTAAAAGAGCAGAAAAGAGAAAGAGTGGCTCGTTTCTCTATTCAGCTACTGACCAAAATTGCCCTTAGGGTTGGTGTGGCAGTAGGGGGTGGATAGATAGAACAGACAATTCATACACACACTCACTCACACAGGCAGACACACGAAGAGAATAGCCAGTCAGTTGTTTGTGATGAGAAATGAAAATGAGATGGAACACAGAGTCACTTTGAGCAAAAAAGCTAAATTAATAAAATGAAATAAAAATTAAATTGTTGTGAGAGCATCGAGATGATTTCCGGAAGCAGTGAGTGCTTCTCACATAGCTTCACATGTAATCCAATGAAGAGAACGCAATCCAGAGGAACTGATTGCGTCTAATAGAAGTTTCTTCTCTCTAGTACATTTTTTGTTGAAAATTCTTGTTTTCCGTAGTTTTCACTATGATATTTGAAAACCAGGTATCTGTTGAAGCCATTTCTCTCAATGAGCTTCATCAAGGTCTCAACAGATGGACAAACCAGTAATAACTGATAGAATCAGTTGACCAGCTCATCCGAAAAACGGAAAAATCGAAAATATTCCTCCGATTATATTTATCAAAGACTAGAAGATAGAAAAGACAAACATTCATTGGAATTACTCCGAACGACAAGTTCTAGTTTCTAGCCTCATGCTCAATAGATAACAGCTTGAATCACTATCGTGCAAACTATGAATGAAAATGAAAAGATCAACAACATCCTAATAGTGTTAGAAGTAAGTAAAGACAATGAAATATCGAGGAGGAAAGGGGGAAAGGATGGATCAGATGTGATTGATCAGTGATCGACACCATTTATTATAACTCATCATGTTAATCAGAATAAGAGCAGCATAGGAGGTTTGAAGAAAGAGTAGGAGTAGATGAAGATAAGAGAATCAAAGATATTCCATGTTATATCATTTCATTATCGAATCATTGTTTCAATAGAGAAATGATTGCCATTTGATAGTAACATTGTAATCCATTATAGGAGAAACTTTCTGACAACTATCATCAACAATCTGCAAAATAAGGAAACTTCAATCTTGTTTGTTTAATTGCTCTGTTATCACATCTCTCAATACGCAATTTTTGACAAACAAGAGCAGAAATCTTCATTGAGGATGTTGAGTAGATGATGAGTCAGAAATTAATGAGCTATCAACATATGCATTTTCACAATAAAAATCGTTGTTGAATGAGAAAAATGAAGAAATGAGCATCAGTGTATAATAATTTTCAATTCGAAAAGCAAATGAAATTAAAACGAAGAAGAAACAGGAAGAAATAAAATGAGGACAAGTGTGATCAGCCTCGAAATGACTATTGATCTTGCCGGTCTCCCCCTTTCCAACAAACATACACATAGAGAGACAACAGACAGAAACACTTCGTTTCATCCCTTTTTTCATTTTCTGCTTCTCACATAATCACCTTGAGCTTGAACTAATTGTAAGATGATCACAGAAAGGACAACTGATATTTGGCTAAGTATCAACAGAAACGCAAAGATTAGCTCGAAAAAAAGGATTGAAATTCATCTAAAAAGCTATGAAAACACTTTTTTTTGTTGAGAAGATGAATGAGAACTATTCTGAGAAGAAAAGGAAATGCCATCAACAGCTAGTTTGCGCGGTGATAACGCCCTCGAAAGGTCAGTTAGATGAAACCCATGTTGTGTTTGAAAGGCTTGAAGCACAAGAGAAAAAACGTGAGCTACCCACAAACACATGAATAAAACCTCATAGATCAATGAATATATATCTTTGAACTGAATCATTTGTAAGTGAATGTAGAAAAAACGGCAGAGGAGGTTAGGAAAACTTCAACCATAATAGGGCGTGCCGGTAAGAAAAACATAACTGAAGAGGACAGCAAACCGGTTACTTACAACAGTGAATGCAATCGATGTGAATTCGGATGAAATGTGCAAAAAAAAAGAGAAAAAATAATGAAAAGAAGAGAAATCCATGTGAGAATGGACAAAAATACAAAAAAACCAAGCAACCGTTCTGAGCGTCTCAATTGGTCCGTATAATCTTAATGGAAAATCACGTAGAATAGTTTGAAGGCTAAACCATCACGTGTAGCGAGACAGTGGCAGCGAAGAAGGATGAGAAAGACAGAAGGTCAAGATCATTAGAGTAAATTGAATGTAAAATTATGGAATGGCATTGATAATATCAGTTAAGAATGATCAAGTCATCAAGATATTCAGACGGGTGACAAGTGATAATGAGAAAGCAGTGAAATATGGAACAGAAACATTTAAAAAAAAAGAAAAATAAACAGAAAGCAAAGTATGAATGCAGATGGTGTGATGAACCAATACGACTGGAATGCTCAAACTCTTTCATATTTTTATTAAAAGGGAGAGGGGGCATCAGAGATAAGTGCAATAACAAATGAGATTTTGGCAAAATACAAACGTAATCAACGGGTTCAAACTGAAATCTTAATATGTATGTCTATATATGTACGCTTATAATTAATACTAACAATCGTAACATCTTAACTGAGCTCATAAAACAAGTTTCCTGAAACATTAAATGCTAAAAATCTATTTGTAATTATTATTTATATCATCATATGTAGCTGTTCCTCGATGTCCAATATGAGGATCGTATTTCAACATTAGTACTTTAATGAATTCTTTTTACAAACTTTGTATATCAATTTTTGTGAGCTTTGGCGTTTTGGCTTTCCCACATGTGGTAATACATTCCTTTTTTGGCCATGAGAGTTGGATGACTGAAAGAGCATTCAAGTTAGCATTATACGATCTTTTCTGACTCACTTTCCACTCTCAACTACTTGTCCTTTCTCTAATACAAGAATGCAATGAGCATTAACAATCGTACTCAGACGATGAGCCACAACCACACCAGTACGAGTTGAGCATAGTTCTTCAAGGCATTTTTGGATAGCTCTTTCAGTGTTTGTATCCAAAGCAGATGTTGCCTAAATCATATCATAACTTTTGATCTATTGTAAAGATGTACTTCGTCCAAGAATATAAACTGTGGCTGTTTAAGAATTGTTCTCGCAATAGCAACTCTCTGTTTTTCTCCTCCAGACAGCTTGAGTCCACGCTCACCAACCATGGTATTGTAACCTATCAATGCTAATGTAAAGCAATGCTTGAGGTTTTTAAACTAACCATCAGGCAAAGATAAAATTTTTTCGTGAATCATGGCAGCCTTAGCAGCATCCATGACTTCTTCTAAACTGGCGGATGGATTTCCAAAACGGATGTTGTATCTGGAACGGTGCTGAATGAAAGTCTGAACACAGCGTGCATCTTACAGAATGGTGTCGTTGAACAACACTGTATCTTGAGGAACTATTCCTATAGACTTTCTCAAAGACTTCAATTTGATATCTCTAATTTCATGTCCATCAAATGAAATAGATCCATCACTCAGTTCGAATAAACGGAAAAGCAGACGAATCATCGTACTTTTTCCACTGCCAGATGGCCCGACCTGAGACACACAAAAGGTTGAAACGTAAGTTTAAGATGCTCTTTACCAAAGCAATGGTTTGTCCACTTGAAACCTCGAACGAGATATTATTGAGTACTTGATTGTTCTCAGTATAATGGAAACACAAGTTCTTGACAGAAATAGTTCCAGATTTGGGAGTATACTCTATAGCTCCAACAGTATCTTGAACTTCAACATCTTCATTCATCAAATCAAACATGTTTTCCATATCGATGAATGATTTCTGAATTGTTCTGAAACAAAAATGAGATGTAAGCATCTTCATCTCAACTCAATACCTGTAGACTGTTCCGAAGAAATTGAGTGGCGAATACAATTGGATGATGTAAGTTGAAAACAGAACATAGTCACCAACCTAAATGTAAAAAATAATTTTTCTTAACAGCAACAAACATACGGTGAGCTTGTTGTCAATTGTGATGAGGTAAGCCACTAAGAGAGATCCCGCTGTTAGACCCATTCCTATAATTCCATTTTGGAAAAAGTTGAGAAGGGCTAAAGAAGCTGCTGCTTTCCATTCAGCCACTTGGAAACTAAATGATAGAATGAGAGGAGAAAGCAATTGTAAACTGCCACACCTTTCGATAGATTCCTTGAACCGATTGACTTCATAGTCTTCGTTTCCATAGTATTTCACTGTTTCATAATTCAACAAAGAGTCAGTACCTGAAAAAATAAACTGGTTCAAACAGATTTTCTGAAAGCTAAGCTCGAACCGATGGCACTGCTAGCATTTTCCTTCTCGTTCATTTCCCTTCTGAATTGTGTTCTCCATTCCGTTATATAAATGGTCAAAACTAAAAGAATGTCTTCAGTCTTCTGATCCCGAAAAGCCAACCTACCCAAGTATAATGCCATTGTAACAAACACAATCATGCCAAAGTAACTGTTGAATGTCGTGAAGAAGAAGACTACAGCAATGATTATATCAGCAATAGTAGGCACAATGTTGAATAGTACATAACTATAATAAAAAACCAAACGTTGATCATAATAGACGCCTGAACTCTCGAAGATTAAAAATTTAATTAGCATAAGAGGCGCCAAGCCATTCTTCCTGGCAAACGCATGGCACCGGTTGTTGTTTGTTAATTAATGTATCAAAATCTAGGCTCACTTCAAAATACTGTTAACCGATCCTGTTCCTCTATCCATAACTCTCAACACTAAACCAGTTTTTCTTGACAAATGCCACCTCAGGGATAAGGAATGCAAATGAGCAAAGAGCTCCACCTAATAAGATATGAGATAAGTTAGTAAATGATTTTTCAATCACTTCTAATTCCTTAGTTGTGTACTGTTGGATTGGAGTCCATAGATACGTTCTTATGGTGTTCAAAAATCCTCCCATAGCACCTCCATTCCCTTGTAAAAATTTGAGGAACGTCGAAACGATAATGAGTGAAAATTGGAAGTTCTGGGGATGACTCAAACCATCGACTACAATACAGATAAAATTCAAAGAATTGTACTTTCTGATATGTGTGTACCTATCCATTTACTGTACAATGGCAGAACTACATTGATAAGACGTCCGATAAGCAACAAGAAGAGACAAAACACCACACGAAGTTGCAAAGGAATGGACTTTTTCGGCCAAATGTATGGGAGGATCAAGGAAATCTTCCGTGAAAAGCCATTCCATGTCTGAAAGATGTTTGACTGTAACACATAGCTCATTGAAGATTATTACAGAGTCGGGGTTGGACTTTACGAAGTTTGAGCACATACTGAAAAGGAAGAGAATGGCGATCATTGCAGATTCGACCAGATAGAAGGTGAATTCGCCGTCTTTATGATATCTGTAAACAGGTGTAATAGTGTTTTTATCCCCCGAAAGGATTTACTTCTCGTCCACATATTTCTTCCAATAAGTCAGAGGAATAAGTTGAACCAAGCAGACTCCTGTGATGGATAATGCCACTGATGCATGGAGATGACTTTCTTTGCAGTACTTGATAAAGACAGCTAAGGTTATAAGCCAGAAGAGCTAAACAGAGAGTTTACAATGGTTCTCTCTCTCTGAGTTGTAAACCTCTTTCGCTAGAAGTAGAGCAGCCAGAACATAACTGTATTTATGAACATAGAAAGCGTAGAAAATGTAAGATGTTGAAAGAGCAATGATCAGAACAGTCGTCAATACTGTTCCATAAAAAGATATAGGTAATCCTCCTCAAAGAAATTCGAATATACTATATATTTTGAAAAATGACTCACTAAGTCTTCGATAAGAGGAAGTGATGGGCAAAAAGAACAAGATCCCATTAATAACACTGAACAAGGCGAAGAACAGAAGCTCAGCTACCTGGGCACACTGAGGCTCCAAAGGCCACCCATGTTTGCAGGACTCCAAGACGGGATCCATCTGAACCATACAAGTGGAAAAAAATGATGACAATGGCGGAAAAAATCAATAAGCATCTTATATGCTTTAGATAAAGTTGTAACATAATTGATAAACTATTTCTTGCATAATAACAATAACAATAACATGACAACAATCAAATTAACAATAAATCCATAAAAACAGCGACAAACTTTCCAAAATTAATGTTCTAAGAGTTGTACAGTTTCCAAGACTTTATATGAGAGTGATAAGAGAAGTATCAACTGATAAAAACTTTTCTGAAGACAGAGATAAAACTCTCGGAATCACCTAATCCATGCGGTAGCTTCAAGTATTTGTTTGCACTTCCGGACTTGGGCCGCTTTTTTGACCGTACTCCAGTAGCCGTAGAGCTTGCGTTCAAAATCTTTAACTATAAAAGCATTTGGCTGATTATCAACCGTCCATGAAACCTATAAACAAAAGTTTGATGGAAATCTGGACAACTTCAATCTTACCGTTCGAAGAATGGATAGCGTTACAGTAAGGTTCTTGCCTGCGGTGTCTTCAAGTATAACAGCCGCTGCAAACAATCCACTATTCAGATAATCAAAAGATAAACATACTTAATAAGGGACACAAAACTGCACTCAATGACAGTATTGATTCTGGTAACTCAAAAGGCGAAGCGTTTGCAGTAACAGAAGTGCTAACCACAGGGAAATCGAAAGGATTAACCTAAAAGCAAATATAGAAACTCTCTAATAAACACTCTCTAACTCACTTTTTTAAACATTTTAACCATATCCACTTGAGAGTTTGTGGTGTTGGTTTCAAAAGATAGGGTCTTCTCTTGAAGCGCGATGTTGCATCCTGCACTGCTGCAGTCATACACCTGAATAGAAAAAAGGCTGACATCTTCAGGTATTTAGATCATACTTTCATAAATATATGAAGAGTCTCCAAAAACTTAGGAGAATTCCATGCAGGTTTTCTAGGGCTACCCAGGAACTTCACAAACCTAAACTAATGAAAGTATAAATGGAATAGAAAGTTTACGAACGATTGAAACAGATCCATACTGGTTCCACACAATTTAGGGTATGATGTCATAACCATTGAGAGAACAGTCACAGCAAGATTTCGAATGCTGAAAACGTAGAGCTATTATGATAAATTTGAGCATGTGAAACCTCATTTCCATATGTGTCAATGCTCTAAGAATATGAGCGATAAATAATGTAAAGTGAGCACTCATCGCATGAGCAGGAGCCGTACATATCACAGTCAATAAATTCTTTAATGGAACCGCAATTTGGTTATCATTAGTCTGAAAAGGTTAAATTTGAGGACTTGCGCTGATAGTGTATTCTAACTTCACTTAATAATCGAGCAACAGATGGAATTAAAGTGCGCAGATGAATGGCTATCAAATCTGGACGAGAAGTGAGAAGTTGCTTTGCTCCTGTAAGAGCATCTTTTCTTATGCTCTGAAGAAGTGAGTTGATCAAGAATCAAAGTTATTACTGAGTATACCTTATTAAAATGGCCTAGTTGTTTACATAATTCATCTAATGAAAGCCCACGGTAAGATAAAGGCTTTTCTCCAGTTTCTTTTTTCTCTTCCAATTGAGATGCGAGAACTAATCTTTTGCCTATAATTCATCGAGAAAATAGAAAACGCTCTCAGGAATAATAACAAACTTTTAATTGTGGTATCCGTAGTGTTGGTTTTCTTCAAAGTTTTTCCAACTTTCAGTTTGACTTTCTTAAAGTCTTTCATTTGCTTCTCTTTCTGCTTCTTGGTTTGCGGCATTCTTCCTGAATATGAGACATTTAGTTGCACTTAGAAGATTAAAAGAACAAGAGCAACCGAATTCTGTGAAATCAACGATACAATGGTTATGTGAATGGTTTTCACGTGAATTTTCACGTATGGTTTGACGTTAAAAAGCATTTTTTGATTCAAATCGGGAGAGAGCGGTCGGGATGGAAGCGCATGTTGAGGAGTTAGAAGATGTAACGGTGGGTTGTTAGATCAATTATCTTATTTTGGTTTTCACTTATTACTTTGTATAATATTACGTTTTTCTCAAACTTTTACATAAATAAGGTAATAGACATAACAGAGTTTACTAAACGTGAGCTTTAAAATGCGTACGCATCAAATTATTTAGCGGGAGTTAATAACTTTTGACTAGGCAGAAGGTTTGATGCTTGCAGGAAAGCTTGGTGATGGAAAACACGCAGAATGCAGATGATTCGTTTCTAAATCCCTCACCTGTACTTCTGAAATCGGCTAAGAAATTGTCAGGTACTTTGCCCATACACTCACTCTGCACACCTACGCCGTTTAAGAGAGGAACTCTCGCACACCATTAACTAAAAAGTTACTGAAAAGTCCAGTTATACAATGTAAGAGAATTCTGTACTCATCCGATCAAAACCTATACATTCTAGTTTCTAACCCAGGAACTCCTCTGAGCACTTTCAGACCGAAAAGAAAATTTGAGAATGTTATAAACACTCCTCGTGAGAGAAGGAAAAGTGGGAATAGCAAGGTAGTATTTATAATATTCTGGGTGATATAAAAGGAAAACAAGGAGAAAGTTATAATTAAGAACGAAATAGATTCTATCAGTATACAAATCATCAAGCATCATATTCACAGGGTGGTAAACTAAATAAAACTGATTTTAATTTCTGCGGTATTCCTCGGGATGTTCAGAACACTTACTGTACTAAAAAGAAAATAACCAAGCTTTATGGTAAGCACTATATATGACAATTTCTAGCTTGGTTCCTTTTTATAGAATGGCAAGAAGATTGCTTATCCGATCCGAGATTGTTGAGAGGTAATAACGTCATTGTTTCTCTACCCACGGGAGCTGGAAAAACTTTGGTGGCTGAGGTATATGGTTTATACTTCTCAATCCTATCATATTGACTTTTCAAGATTCTGATGCTTCGTGAAGCGACTGTAAGAAGAAAATCATCAATCCTTGTTTTACCTTATGTTGCTATCGTTCAAGAGAAGATAACTTCTCTTCAGTTCTTTGAAGACGATTTTCACGTCCATATCGAAGAGTATGCTTCATCAAAAGGTTTCTTTTTCTTATTCAGTTTTCTGATAGCAGCATGGTTCAGGACGAGTTCCTCCTATCAAGAGAAGGAATCGAAACTCTGTCTATGTGGCTACTATAGAGAAAGCGAATATGATAATCAACTCCCTCATCGAAACAAACCAAATGGATAAGATTGGATTAGTTGTCGTTGATGAAGTAATTTTTTACCTATGAGTACTCATCGCATTCACCAATTCTAGCTTCATATGCTGGGTGACGGTAGAAGAGGAGCTCTGCTGGAACAACTTCTTTTCAAATTTCTACAGAAGGGTTCCCATTTCTAGTACGTCCCAAAGCTTCATGCGAATATTTACAGGCAGTGGCCAAATCGTTGGGATGTCCGCTACGCTTTCGAATATGCCTCAACTGTCAGATTTTCTGAAAGCATATGTTTATACGACTGAGTTTCGACCGGTTGGTTATTGTTCTCAGTGATGGTAATATCAGTTATTTGAGATTAAACTGAATGAATTCATGAAAGTGAACAACACTCTCTACCGTGTCTTACCAGGAGGTCGAACAGTTGTCGAGAGAGATTTCAAAGTTGATCCAGTAAGTTGCTGTATGCTTCGAAGCTTTCAATGTTCGAGAATTTTCAGAAGACCGCTCAACAGGATCCTGATGGTATCCAGTTGTTCCTTAGAAAGGTTTTGCCTGACAAATCGGTCTTGATTTTCTGCCCTTCGAAAAAGAATTGTGAAAACGTTGCCCAAAACATTAGAAAACTTCTACCTTCGTAAGTAAACTCGAGGAGTTTGTAAAACTTAATCTCGTCCAGAGCAATAAGGCACAAGCGCTTGGAAGATAAACAGAAGCTGGTGAATGCCATTAAAGCGGATAATGATGGAAAAGTAAGATAGTTTTGGTTCATTCTGAAATGAAAAGATTCAGATTGATCGTGTACTAGAAGAGATCATTCTAGCTGGAATCTCTTATCACCATTCAGGATTGACTCATGAGGAACGAAAACATGTTGAAGCCGGATATTGCGTTAGTTCCTTCTTCGAAAACTGCGTTAACATCTTGATTAGGAAGGCATTTTGAATATACTCTGTTGTACTTCTACATTAGCTGCTGGAGTCAACCTTCCTGCCAGACTTGTGATTATCAAGGTATACCGTTTTTCCTCTTGTCGCTACAAGCATAGTCTTAATAGTCACCTCATGTTGGAATAGAATTCATAAAGAAATCTCAATATCTTCAAATGATCGGTCGGTCAGGGCGTGCAGGTTTTGATGATGAAGGAGACAGTATAACGATAGTTAAACCAGCTGATGAAAGAAAGGTTTGATATAATTCTGCATTTCCTAAGATACTTGTGATAGTTCCGTGAACTTCTTCTGAGTGATATTCCCTCTTGCAATAGCCCCCTCTTAGATCAAAGTCTACTGTCAGCTTTCATTTTGGATATTGTAACTCTCAACGTAAGTTGAAACCCCGTTTCTCAGAGAACGATAACTCAATGATCAGATGGCCGATTCTAAAGAAGAATTAATGAATGTAATCCAGGATACTTTACTCTATATTCAACAGGGAAAAGAAGAATGCGAGAAGTTAATCGACGAAGCTTTGACTTATCTCAAGAATCAAGAGTTGATTGTGAATCCAAACAAAGTATATTCCCATAATCCACAAATACTCATCTTTCATCCCTTCAGAAAATCAAAGCCACAGAACTGGGATTATCTGCGTTCAGAGCAAACTTCCAACCAGAAGAAGTTGCTGAGCTGACATCAAATTTGAAAGAGGCATTGAATAAGGTGAAAGGTGTGTATGACAAAGATCATATACTCTTGATTCAGGGTGTTGTGTTCTCATCTTGCTTTCATCTTCTATATGTCATAGCTCCATATGATATTGAATGTGACATAGATTGGGATCTATTCTACAAAGAGGTTTGCTTGAACAATTCAAAGCTCTTCAACTCTTGTTTCACAGTACAAAAACCTCACAAGCTCTGAGAAATTACTCTTGAAAACAATGGGAATTCCTGAACATGTTATTCTGAAAAGGATCCAGAAGAAGGAACGCATGGTATATGAGAGTAGATTGGCTAGAAACTAATCATAACTTTTGTAGAGAGCGGGAGAGCCTCCGATGAGATTATACATAGCGCTTATGCTTCAAAAAATTTGGGAACAGAAAGCCTGCTGGGAGGTTTCCGAACTTTTTGGTGTCGATAGAGGCTGGCTTTCACAAACCCTACAAAGTTCAATTTGTCAGGCTGCATCTATATCAAAATTCAGCGATGTTTGTTTGCCACTCTTATACTCTAGTAATGTGCAGCTTAAGACTCAGAAAGACCTCTGGCCTATGAAGTTACTTCTCCCTGAACTTGTAAAAAAGCTATCCGATTGTAAGAATACCGAAATGATTCCATTACTATCTATAAATGGAGTTAAACGCGCACGAGCACAACAGCTTTATTCTGCAGGTTATAGAACAGTGAACGATGTAATTCGAAATTGCGTAGATCAGAAAAAAAAACCCGTTTAGATAGCAAAGATGACGACCTCAGATATGATGTCTGCTTTGAAAACCGCAATAAGAAAACACGAAGCTCAAAAGATTATTAACAGTGCTAAAGTGATGAGAGGATCTGAAAAGAAGACTAATTCATTCCGATTTCAGGCGTTAGTTCGAGATCAGATAGACGAAAAGTTTGAAGAATTAGAAGAATATGGACTCACCATTAACGATATTAAATAGGAAAACATCCGACAGTCAACACAGTCTTTCATCCGCATGCCATAATCACTTATCAGCCGACTCAGGATTCATTGATTCCATGATTTGATCAAGCTTGTCTTCTAATATGGGTATAATCTCTTTGTCGATGAACAAATGAGTATCGTCAAGTTCCTTAATATTTGTATTTCCCTTCTCAAGTGAAAATTATAACGATTATACCTTGATAATAAATTTACTTCCTAATGTACGAGACTCATCCAAATGAATAAGTAATTGACGCATAGCAGGGTCACATGTGACCAAAAGTCCTTTTTTGACGTTTACCATCTTCTCTCTATAAATGATACTAAACGACAATAACAAGTAATAAATAGAAGATAAAGTATGATAAGAACCCAATAGAGTAAAAATGAAGAAACGAAATTCCAAGGATTCATTTGATAACAAATAACAACTAAAGCCTAAAATAACAATATAATCTTAGATGCTATATTTCTTCGAACGAGATCTTAAATATTCATAGTACTCTTCCATCTTATCCCATCCTGTTGAGGGCTTGGACCGTCCTTTGAATCCTGGAGCTGGTCCCTGGAATAATCATACTAGTTGTTATTGGAAGTATAAACTTTCCAACCTCTTCCAATCTCACAAATATGTTTATGTATCGATATCTGATTGTGTTCCAATTTTCGTGTGCATGCCTACGTGCTCCTTTTATGATTTTACATTGAACGGGGAAAGCATCAGCTACATACATCTCCCCTGGAAATTCGATGTGGAATTCGTTGGATGCTCGTTCCTTGGCTTCAATGAGAACTTCACGCAGCATAGAAGGTCCCTTAAATATGAGAATCGTGCGAGATAGTTCAGTACGTGGAATACCTTCATTTGCTGAAACTCAAGCTGAACAATAGCCTCATCAACGTTCATTTTCCATGCAAGTTGACATGCTTGCCACATTCGTTTGGGTGAGAAATGAACCTAGAGATAATCAGAATAGTCTTGGGAATTTCAAAGTTCAAAGCTGAATAGCAAATGAGAGCTTAGATCAAAAAATTGTGAACGTGAGATTTTAATTAAATGGAATGTACAACCGCTGAAAGACTGCTCAGAATTAAAAAGAAAAGATTAATTGACGTGTAAAACATAACGCGTGCGTGAATACGTGAACATGCTAATTAGCTTTGATGTCCTATCTCATGAATGCAAAATTTGAAGAAAAAAGAAACTCACGGACTCTCTGCAGTGGTAAATTTCTCTTTTTTTTGGAAGCTGTGTTTCGGGAACAACATAATTCCGTGGCCAAACAACTTTATTGTAGTATTCCCATTTTTCAGGTGTCATTCCATACCCTTTTAGTGGATCGGGTTGTTCATCGTCTTTGTTAGCTTTCTTATCTAAATCCCATTCTGGAGCATAATACACCTTAAGTAGTGAGAGTGAATTATCTGAGCTCGAATTAGTCAGAAAACCTTGGATGGAAGTGTTTCTTCAGACTGAAGTTTAGGCTTTCTCAGTTGTATTCTTCGGTCCCATTCCTGGAACAACTCCAAAATATTCAAAACAGGGAGATTGAAACCTTTTCTGCAGCGGAACTAGAAAAACTGCTTGCTCTCGAAGCTACTCGACTAATGGCTGCTTCATTATGTGCTAGACGTGCACAAGTGGTCCATAACCGTATCATTTTCATCCTTATTCAGTTGTATAAGAAAGCTTTCAAACAACTTCATGATATATCGTAAGGCGATCGACCTTTCACATTCGTAAAAGAAGAAGCAAAAACAACCCGTTTATTGGAAAGTAGTAAACTGAACTGATACATACGAACATATATTATGAACTATATAAGTTTGGAACTGGGTGATTTCCAGGAAAAACAACGACAATCTCATTTCCCAACCAATATAGTACAACTCATAGAGGATTTCTTCCGTAAATATAAATGAAGTAAATTAATTCTGGTGAGTTCCTCGGAAATCTATCAAGCCTGAAAAAAAACTCAATTAAAATATTGGAAATTCAGAGAAAAAACATGCATTGTCGTTTCCCAGATCCACCACCTTAGAGAAAATTTCGTTAGGAACAGAGTGAGTTCACTTCCAACTAGTATAGCTCCAAATAACATCTGCAAAAGGATATTTACTCTGGTTGGGAGAAGGAACTAACCCATGGTATGGAAAAGAGTAAAGCGAACACGATGTCCGTATTTAGTTCGATTTGACTCAAGTTAAAAATAGGAAAAATCACATAAAAACGCGATTCATCCCTGACGTAAAAGAAAAAAAAGACTAGACGAAAATCAAAAGTGAAATGAATATGGCTAGAAAATGAGCATTCATAAGTTATTCTCCTCCCGTTGTATTGCTTCCTTTATCTGAATACGAAATGTCAGAACAAAAACCAAAGTTGCAAATACCTAATGAGGCACTTTCATCTTCAGTTTCTCTGCTTGAACGACTTGATGTGAGAGAGCACACCTTCCTCGTCTCGTTCTCTCTGAGAATTATCTGAAGCAGCCAAGTACAAAACGGAATATTTAAAAGTCCTTCAAACCTCTTCTAAAATACTATTATAATTTTCACTAGGATAAACGGATTTCAAGGATTTGATGTCCTGATCCAAGTCTGTTTTCTCCCTGAACACGATAATTCAATAACAAAATTGTTTCTCAGACTTACAACGACAGTTTGAATTCAATTTCTTCCAATTTAGAAGATAATAAAGTTTGTTGTTGGATTAGGTCACGTACTCTTTGTAGTGATCTTTCCATGGAGCCCAAAGCCTGCAAAGACAATATAAAGAAAAGAATATGGAAAATAACTTTACCTGATTGCAACCACAGTTCATGATGTTAAGAGGAGGCAAAAGATCACCGGAAGTGTAAGATTCGAACTCCAAACGATCCATTTTTAGACTTTCATGATTCATGTCTTGAACGAATTGAAGAGCACATGAAAGATTTGTGAAGAAGTATCCTGAAAAACAAAGCCGTGAAAACACGAGTACCTTGTTCTAACCTGATTCTCCACTCATCACACGAGAAGAGAGAGCAAAGCGACTAATAAACTTGAGATTAGATTGGATGAGAGGAGGATTTCCTTTTAGGAGAACATAAATTAACACTGGTAAAAACTCGTCGGCACTTGTAGGAGCGTCTATAATACCGGGAACTTGGATGAGACAGAATAAGAGGTAAGACTTACTCGATTCTTTTAAAGCTTCAAAAATTTTATGAGAACATTTGACGAGACAATCCAATTTTTCACTAGCTGCTCGTTTACTGTTAATATCAATCATCTCGGATATGGCATCATCCAAATGATCACGGACCTGCAAGAGCCATTGTCAGCTACTTGTGCTAATCTCACAATCTTACCTTTTGTCTAGAGAAATCAAGCTTGGTTTCCAGAAAACCTGCTGTTACCCAGTTTAACGATCTTATTCTGTCCTGCAGAGATAGATCTGCAACTTCCTCGTCGGAGCTAAAAAGGATAAAAACAATCGAAAAAGACATTGCTCGTACTTGGCACAAAAGAGATGATTGTAGCAAGATATACATACAAATGTTTCAACTTCCTCAAGAACTTCTTCAGCCCTAACGGAGTGTTCTGAATTCAAATAAGAATTGTATGAGAAACAGGAGGCAGTCTCTTACTTTCTAACATATAATTTGGATTATTGTTCAGTTTATCCAATAAATATTGATAAAACTGTTGTACGAGCTCTGAAATTTCATCAGGCGCGATTCTCAGCTGAAAACATCAAAATCCAACTTGACGACAACAAAATAACAACGAAAACCTCGTGTATCTTATTAACAGCTTGCTTTGTTTGTATTGCAACATCATGCGAGGCAGAGCTTGACAAGCGAGTCAAAAAATGTGTCAGTTTCTCGCGAGCAGATTTGCTATCAGGACTCAACTGTCGACTTCTGAAAATATCGGATTTGAGTATCTTTTGAAGGCTCGAAGTTTATTGTTCACTATGATTAGCACAATAGAATTTCTGATTTACATATTTGAGGCATTGTATTGCCTGAGATGAATGAGGTTCTCAACTGAAAAGCTGAAGAATGAAAATCAGCTTTGAACATTTCCCATTCAAAACCCAATTTCCGTTCATTGATCACCAAAAAAAACTACTTCACTAGCACCACACATAAACTCGGCTGTTTGAACGAAAGAGATCACCCGTACTATCGCAATTAGAGAATATAAGAAATTAATTATTAATGAAATCACATCGGGTTCACCTAGCTACGATATCATCTCTGCTTGAATATTCATAATTCTGACGCATTTCTCAAGTTGGCGAATTGAAAAAAACAAACAGGGAAAAGATGAAAGATTGCTTATGTTCACCCCCAAAACAAAATAAACGCTAAGAAGTGCATGAGAAACGAGAAAATAACGAAAAATGAAAACGATTTTGTTAAGATTCACGGAAATCGACTAGCTCTTTCAGTACTTCGACGAGCATAAACGAACGAATTTCACATGCATAGACGATCTGTGGACGTTACAACGCCAAAATATTTAAAGAAAAACTTCATAAACGACTCTTTCAAGACGTAGTTTTCAAACAAAAGAAATTAAGATTAACCTGGACGGAGACTTTTGTGGATGTGAGTGAGGTGAAGTTTCCACTGAAAACGACAGTTTTGCATATGAGGAAGGATTATCTATCATACCAGAACCCAAATTGTTAGGCGATTTCCAAATATTCTTGAGGGCTGAGCCTTTTCCTGTCCCAGTTGATAATCTTCGTTTTTCTTGGAAACTGTCAAAGCTTGTTCTGAAGAAGCAGAAGTTTCGAACGAATAAACGAAAAGGTCAAAACCTATTCCTTGCAGAATCCAAGTTTCGTTTCTCCAAGAGCTGGTGATTTCTCCAGCATTTAGAGCATCTATTTCCCCACTGGGGAGTTCCATAAAAGCCACAGCCATTTATGCAAAGCTTAAAAGAGGAAAATAAAGTCTAATAAGGAGAAAAGCATTTACCAAATCCTTTTCACTGATTTGAACCCTAATTCTCTTATTTTCATCGTGTTCCTCAACTTCAGCTGAAGATTGAGCGCGGTTTTCTTTCTTATAAACAGACATGATACTGAAAAGATACGAGGATGTAAAAGAAATTCATAAAAAGCACGTGAACACGAAATTAGAACTGATCTTGGAGAAAAGAGAGCATTTGAGAGCAAACTGCTCTCAATGGCAAAAGTGTTGGTACTGGGGGAACTGGGAGGCTCCAAAAGTCCATTGGGTAGCTTTATAGGGAAGGACACCTGCACTTCTAGGACTTTCGAAACCGAAATAAAAACTGAGCGAGAGAGAAAAAGAGCAAAAGACCAAGTGGAAAGGTAAGAGTCATGAGTTGTCTAACAAGCACTATGTTGGTACCAGGAAAAGTTGTGAATCTCATATTCGTTGATCTTTAATTTAGTATAGAATCAGCATAAACGCCAAAAAGCAAAAAAATAATGTAAACGAAAAACAAATTGTGAAAGAGGAAAACAAGAACGAATGGCGAGACAACTATAAAGGAGGCCTGTCCGGCTATCAGAGTTGGACACGCCCAGAAGGAAAATATTCCTAGTTTGGAGATATTTGAGAAAAAGAAAAAAAGACAAAGGAACACAGATCGATGGGCTCTAAAAAAGGAAAAGAGAAAACATATTTACATGTTGATAAACATGTTCTTAGCTTAATGACCTGTTAGAGGAGCATAGGATGTTTGAAACTGAGAAAAATACTATGAAAAGAACTCACTTTACAAGCTTAGAGACCGGAAATCTATACAAGGCACATCTAAACAAAGTAAATTGATTAATATTTGTATACAAAAAGAAGAGGTAGAGTAGATAAGAAGTGTCTAAACACATGATGCGTAAAACCAATCAGAAACTAAAAATTTCTTTGACTCTAACAATCTATACATACAAAAACTTTAAAAGATGATGAAAAAACAAAGTACTTTCAAAATACACCTGGTAATCCGAAAAAGGCACAATCATACTGAGCATATATGGTATTTCAAGTTGCTCAACTACACATACCGGCAAGTTAATAATCATATGTACAAGGGAGCGTATAAAACTACGTAGCCGACCAAAAACCCATGGTTAAACAATTCTCGAAACAAATACTAATCTCTAGACTCCCAAAATTTTAGTCAGTACTGCTAAACAATCATCTGATAAACATTTGTCACTCAGCCAGGAGCAGATTTCATTCTTATATTCTTCTTTTTTACATGCTGTTATTATATAATCACGAGCATCATGTGGTTTTTCGAGACGCATATAATGGACTGCCATATAGAAAGCAGCATCGCCATCTCCTAAATTGAAAAAAAAACTTGAAATAAGCCTAAGGGTCATGTGACTGACCTCGCTTAGCTGATTCTTTCATCCAATATTGAGAAGATTCCTCTTTCTTTTCGGTACCTTCTCCTTTGAGATAGCATAAAGCCACAGAGTACATGGATGCAGCATGACCACGTTCAGCAGCAGTATTCCAATAATGGAAAGCCTATACAAAGAGAGAAATAAGCAAACAACAAAGTTCAAACACTAACCTCCATCTTATCAGATGTTACACCAATACCATCGAAAAGACAATCCGCATAATTATACATGGCATCGACGTTGCCATGCTCCGCAGCATTTCTAAATCTGAATACCAAAAACTAAAGTACGAAAGATTGTTTTGATTGTACCTTCGAACTGCTTCGACACGCATGTCATTCTCCATGAGCTCTTCACCAATTTTGTTTTCGAGCTCCCATGTAAGGGCATTTAATCTATCCACCCCACTCGAGTTTGTTTCATCACCTGAGATATCGGTTTGGCAAGACACCTTTAAAAGTGAAATTAGAAAGGATTAGCAAATACTAACTTACTTCAACAGTTTTACACTGGCCTTTCTCAACTTTTTTCAAAGAATTCTTTTCAAGCTTGTGATCATTTGAGAAGGGCTTTACTGAATTCTCAACTAATTCGAACGAAAACTGAAAATTTCAAATCAAATAGGTTTCCTGTATACTAGAACTAACAGGGAATGGATAATTGAGACTTGGTATGAAATGGCAATTCGGTGTTTGTGTTCCCAAATTCAGATTCTTCACGTACGGAATGATATCGTCCAACAGACGACTAAAAACTTAAAATCGTAACATAACTTAATCAAAGTCTTACCTTGTAGAACCGTCCTCTTCACCTTCGTTTTGTGAATTAACTGATTGATGAGGAAGGATGACCAAACGAGAACCGTTTCTAAGTATATTGGAGAGTGCTAAACGTTGAACACTCATACTATGTTCCTAAGCAGTCATATCTCGTCTAATCTACAACTACCTTAAAGAGAAATATAATTCGATTATTATATGAGAAACGGTTTAAAAACCAAAATAAAAGAACAATATGCACTAGCGATTGATGTTTTACAAAAATCGTTATTGAAAGAAAAAAATATTATCGGAAAAAAGCGATCGAAGTCACACGACAATTATCATTGATATGGTTTCGTTCAAAGATCATTACTTAAAATAAAACACCAATTATTTCTATATCCACCCTACTAGCCGTTACATCAGCTCTAAACTGTTTTATCAATCAAATGAATAGGAGTGGAATGAATAATTATGAACAACAATTTTTAAGCAACGTTGACTAGAATAAGCTAGAATACTCCAGGGAACCGTTTCTCTTTGGAGCGCACTATTTGTAATGGGGCGCAGCTTATGTGTCACATATGTTTGACTACACTACGAACATAATAAATCATTCATATAGTTATGCGTCGAAGTTTATTAGTATACTGAACATGAAATTGGATTAGTTTCTCTTCAGACTGTTCGATAAAGCAGAAAGTTTTCATTGGACTTCATATTCGAAACGTTTTGAAATCAACAGACAAATGTGTGATGAAATCGGAGCATGACTAGACAGCATGGCTCCGCTTTGACTGATTGTTGTGATAAATGAATTTGTTGTTGAACTTTTTGATATGATGACTGAATGAGCTCGCAAAGAGTTTTAAGCACCGTATGCCTTCCGTTTGAACAAGGTTATGATGTTGAAGGAAAAAGAAGGGACAATCTCGTTTTGTCTTTTGTTGTCAATGATCTCCTCGTCGTAAGCCAGCTTTTCGCATAATCTTTAGAATTTTCTTTTCTCTTTTTCATCATTACCATCGTTTAGTTGTATCGTTCTCTAGCCATATTTGGATACAAATGACAAGCAAAGACGGTATTGCAATCCGGTCTATGAAAACATCTTCATGATGAAGTCAGCAGCTTTCGCATCAGCTTCAACCATCGAAGTCTTTCTGTTACCGACCTTGAGCTTTTTCAAACAGCTTCTCGTGTCTCAACACCTTCGATATCAATCAAATTATCAATTGAATCACTACGAAGAAGCTGATGTCTGTTTATTCTTTTTATTTATCCAATTATTTACTTTATGCGTTAAGCTTTAACGTTCCAGAGATCTCATATACTATTCGTGCTTAACTTCCTCCTTGTAATCTCGTATAAGGTCAGCTTACGACTGAAGCAATTCGAATAAAAGAAGAAAAACCGAAAATTCATTTTTTCTTTTCCAAAGCAAGGGTTTCGAACGCGAAATTGCAATTTCTAAACATAAAGCTCGCTTGTAATCAGGAAGAAAAAAGAATGTTTTTCTGCCAAATTGTCACATCAAACTCATGACTGTCCTTTCGAAAAGTCTTCCTTCTTCTACTGTTATCGATAAAAAAATAAAATTCCTCCAGATGTTCGTTCATTTGCTCATTCGCGAACATTCAGATCTTCTGAGAAACTCTGCCCATGCGAATAGTATGAGACGGGATTTTCTATTGTACGAAATACTTTCTTTTATTTTTCTGCCAAAACAAAATGCAATTTACGTATTTTGACTGGAAACGTTCATCGGAATGTCAAGTTTGGAACTTCCGTAAATGGATCAAGTTTGGGTGCAAAGCCAATTGTCAGATGAATCTGTTTAACGTATGAAAGAAGAGAGAGGAATGCATTCATAAATTAACAGAGTGAAAGTTTACTCTGTGGAAGCGAAAACGTTGAAGGGGTTGGGGAGGTGTGGAGAGCTCTCACGGGGTCCAAGAAAAAAAATTTTTTTTTTTTCTGGAATGACGAGAAAAACGAAGAAAGTTGTGTATGATACTCGTTATCACCTGATTGTGGAAGATAAGAAATGAGAGAAAAAACAAAACTGAATATAACTCACTAATTCAAATGTTTGATATGTTAGAAGCTTGAAGCTAAGCGCTAGATGCGAACATCTTTTTTATTTCAAAAACCCTTAAGGCAATCTCATTCAAGTTCTCCTATTCGTTCGGAACTATCAGTTTCAAATACATTCGTTATCGATTCTTCGTCTGATTACGTAACTGATAAAGATGAGATAAAGATATAAAAATTGATCAATAATTAATAAAATATTGAAGTTTCTTTTGTTTTTATCACAAACGGTCAGAAGAGGCATTGAGTCATGGTTGAGCATCCAATTAGCCACATCATCAAATATGTATGAAAGTTGGTGGAAAAATATAATTTTTTTTTATTGTGAACCCAAAAAAAGAGAGAAGAAATAAAGGAGGAAAAGAAAGAAGCAGTTTGTGCATGAAATCTTGCCCGATGAAGCATCAAGCTTAGCCACAGTTATCCTCAACTAAACAATTCGAAAACAAAAACCGTGTTTGTTGTTATTTACAGCTTCTTCCGTTACTATTTCTTCTCACTCATCGTTCTATGACATCTTTCTCTCTCACTCTGTCTGCCTTCTTCACTAAATATGGAGAGAGGGAAATAGAGAGATAAAGAGAAAATTCCAAAATATAATTCATTCTATACGACAACGTTCTCAAAATGAACTAAATAGTCAAAAAAGGAATAATGTACTTGTTTGAAAGTTAATTTACTTTTTGCACAAAACAGCCATTTTGGGTAACAAGAATTGGCCTCTCTCTCCCTGTCTTACCCTCTTTGCAGCTAACCATTCTCTCTCTCTCTCTCTCTTCCTTCTATAGCTCTCCAGCTCTTTCTCACTGCTTAAGTCTTCCTCACCACCTTGTTGTCAAATGAA